ACAGTTACAGAGGCTGAGCATAGGAGCAGGGAAAAGGAGTGCTAGCAAAGATTCCTGAACAGGGCAGTGACTTGTTGATAGTAGGGGTGTGAAGGAAGGAAACAAGTTTGTTCTCTCCTGCCCCCATGTCCCTTAGACCATGACTGATGTGGTGGGTAACCCAGAGGAAGAGCGCCGAGCTGAGTTCTACTTCCAGCCTTGGGCTCAGGAGGCTGTGTGCCGATACTTCTACTCCAAGGTAGATGCCTGGGATGAATGCACAGGGGAAAATGACAAAAGGATGGGGGTCTGTACCCCTGATGGGGGTCTGCATCCCTGATGGGGGTCAGTAGTGTTAGGTACCAACTTTTGGTTTGTCTCATCTTCCACTCCTTACACTATTTTCTCCTTAGGTGCAACAGAGACGACAAGAACTAGAGCAAGCCCTGGGAATCCGAAATACATAGGGCCTCACCCACAGCCCTGATTTGGTTGCACCGATTCTTTATTTGGGCCCTGTGCTACCTGCCTCATAGCACCTGCCTTGGTCTTGGTTGGGGCCTTCCAGGGATGCTGTTGGTTTAAGGACAACACCAGAATGAAGAGGGTCTCATATATCTGTCTTACAAGACACCTGTTACCCTCTTCTCCCACCCCATCCCTTCCTACCCCCCAGCTTCCCTTTGCCCCCCCCCGAGTTCCCATGTGCCTCTACCCTCCCCCTGGTCTACGTAGGACCTCTAGATAGTGTTAGAGAGAGAACTTGTAGTGGTAATCACTGCTCTGAATGGATTGGGCCTAAGGCCGCGTGGTCATCAAGGGGACCAGCTACATTGATCCTGCCCTTCAGAGACCCAGGAGTTGGGAGCTTTGGCCTCTTCTCCAAGACTCAGGTCTGGGAGCACTCTATAAGCTAGCTGATCTTGGCTCTCATAATAACAGAATCCAGTTTCCTTCCTTCCCTCCATAGGTTCGGAGCAAGCTCTCCCTTCACTTATTGCCCTCCAGCACTAAAGGAACCCTAACTCTTGGGCTCCACTGAGCCCCAGGTCAGTCCCAGCCCTCTGGATTGGCCTGCTCCCTTAGTGCTTCTCTTACTCCCTAGTAGGGAGTCCATATCAGTATTGCAGTTTGTTCCTTAACCATTGCTCCCACCCAGCATATTCCCGTAGCGGCCCTTTTTTAGGATTCCCTTATATCTGCCCTAACCTGGGGCGTTTGGGTGGGAGAATTTTGCCTTTCCCTGTCAGAGCCCCAGGGATCTAACCTGGGGTACCGTCATTGCCAGCTGAGGTTGTTCCTGCTATTGCTTGGCGGTGTGACCCATTCATTCACTCCACTCTGCCACCACCCCCATCCCTTAAAGGAGAAACAGGCCTAAAATCAAACGGGTAAAAGCCCTGGGCCATCCCTGTCTTCCTGTCCCTTTTCTGCCCAGTTGACACCCACTGGTGGCTTCTAGGACACTGAGGAGTGAAAGCGCCTAGGGCTGGAGAATAGCTCTGAGTTGGGTTTGTGACTCTTCCCTACCCCTGCTTCACAGGATTGTGACTCCTAGCCCCTGCCCTCAAAGCTTCAGACCCCTCAAGTAGCAGTAGGACCTTGTGATCTTGGCCCCTTGGAGCTGAGATGGTTTTGCATCTTTCCAGGAGAGCCTTAGATTCTTCCAGGTTGTATCACCCCCAAGTTAGCATATTCCCAGGCTCGCAGACTCATAGCAGGGTGGGAAACAGCTGGGCACAGAAGGGGAATTCCGTTCAGCATGGGCTCTGAACCCACATAACTGACAGCCCCTGCTTCCCTACCCCCTCCTCAGGCTCCTGCGAGCACATCCCCTAGTCCCTTATCCCTGCCTGTTCCACACTGGGGACATAATTTTCTCCCCACTTTCCCCTTCCTGCCGTTATCCTTCCCTTCCCTTGAAAGGTTCTCCCCACAGTGGCACTGTACAACCTGTCCTTGGGGCAGCTGAGCCCTGGCCCAGCTCCTGGCTGGAACCATGAGAAGGAAGCTCAGCACCCCTACAGTGTCCCTGTTGAAGATAACTGTTTTTATTAACTAAATGATTATGTTTTTTTCATGGACCAAAATTTTTTTTTGTACTGTCCCCTTATTGATGTCACCCGGTTTTAATAAAAGAATCTTCTGAAGGATGAGTGCCCCCTACCTACTGAAGGAGAGCTCCTCGTTGAGCTCTTTTCTCCTCCAATATCTTTAGCCATTCTCTTGATGTGTGTTCATTTATTTTACAAATATTTATTGAGCATCTGCTATGTGCCAGGCCTAGTGCTAGGCATGGGGGATACAGTGGAAAACAAGGTTGTTACCGCGTGAACCTTAGGTTCTCACTTCATAGGTTGCGCCATCAGCTCCAGTGGTCTGAGCAAGCCAGGTGCTGGTTGGATTGTCAGGCTTCACTCTATTTGGTTCTGAGTCGTGCCCCACTTCTCAAGTTAGGCATGTACCTGATCGCTCAGTGGCACTGCTATTTTCTCCCTTGCCCTCTTCTGAGCTCCCCAGGGCATAGAGGCCTTCCTGGCTGGGGTGAGCTATCCTTGGGTGCCTGTGACCGCTTAGGCTTGATGAGCCAGAACTCTAGAGAAGGTAACTTTTCCCCCAGAGTTGCAATTTAGATTTGGTCCAGGGCCTGGACAACCAGACATTTTTGCCTTCTCTGTTTGCCATTCTCTTTAGGGTTCCGTTTTCATGGCCCTGAGTAAGATTTCAGCTCTTAAAACCAGCATGGAAGCACTATGTTGTCATCCTTGTACCACAGGCAACCAGCCCCTCATTGTCAGAGTTTGGAAGACTTGCTCAGGAGTGATTATTCCCATTAGCAAAAACATGAAATTTTGCTTCAAGTCTCTCTACTGTCCATTTGCTGGCCTTATTTTCCTCCTTTGTGGTACTAACCGGCTTGGTTCTACCTAAGAAGGGGTTTAGAACATAGGATGAATATAGTCACATTCCAAACTTGCAGCTAAAAAAATTATCTTTTGCCTCCATGGTTGGGGACATGCAAGAATTGCCTGTAGTATGTGATCAGACCCACCAAAGATACAACCTCTGTTACCAATCTGGAACTTGGGGGTTTATCAGACTTGAGTAGGGAGAAGAGTTTATAGGGGTGATAACTTAGAATGGAAAAAGTTGATGTCAGGGACATTGAAATGGCATCTGTTTTTATCCAGGCCAATCATGTAATGAATGGCTGATGAACAACTTATTTTCAAGCAAATAATCTACAGTTTGCTCTTGGGAAAAGAACTCTAGTGGCACAGATAAATCCCTGTGACCAGCTAATCCTGAATCTGCACCGTCTTTATTCTTACATAAATGAGCAAATTCTTTATTTCCATACTACCTAAAATGATTATAGGAGCAAAATGAGAAAGATGGAAGCATTCAGGCAAAAACAAAGGGGTATCTTATACATAAACATCTATTCTTTGGGGTTCCCATAATATGTGCTAGAGGCAGAAGCATCCTTTCTATTCCACCATCCATAATCAATGCTCCCAGCTGGCATACTGCACTGGTACTCTTCTCAGTGCCAGTGCAGTAAGGGAGTGGATCTGTGGGAGGCTGGCTCTATATTGGATGCAACTTTGTTCTAAGAAAACTGCCAACTACTAATTTCATGTATGTTCTTATGGGAACTCCTTGGCCATGGGTAGATAATATGGTGGGCTTTTCCTAGGCAGTCCCTGGAACTTAGAAAATCATTTCTCCCCAGTCTTGACCTCCTGCCCATTTGCCCTTACACAGTGGTTGCACACAGAATCCCCTCTCCCCCAGTGCTTATGGCTGTTGCCAGCCAGCAGCAGCCCAGGGGAGCAGAAACACCCACTCAATAGTTGGCGAAGCCAGGAGGTCAGCACATGAGCACGCAGTGGTGTCTGCCCTCTAGGCCAAGGTGCACAGACAGCTGGACTGGTGGGCCTCTTGCCTCACTCTCCCGATCAGCCTAGCAACCAGACCTCCCTCTTAGTCAAAGAGATGGCTGTGGGTGATGGAGAACCCTGGAACTGCTGAATGTGTTCCTTCCATTCTCCTTCCCCTCAAAATCACACACCCCACTTACTGTCAATTACAGCATTCTCAGACCACAAAGCTTCACAGAGGTCACAGCTACACCTGAGGGGAACTGCTGCCTCAGTTCCTGCCTCCCTTCCCCTTTCTGGCTTCTGCAAACTAGCTGTTAGCCTGAGGGAGGCCCTAGTATGTATGGTAGTGCAGTAACTTGGAAACCCAACAGAAGGAATATTGGAGTTCATGGCCTTCTAAGACAGTATACCATTTGGCCACTTTCTTTCCACTCTTCCTTAAGCCCAGAGTCTGCGAAAGGAGAACTGTGAGCCACTTGGCGTCAGAGCACTCCAACTTTGACTTTCTCACCCTCCCTTCCTGGAAGTCATTCAGGTAGGGTCATTTGCAGTGGAGAGCCCCACTGGTGAGTCCCTGAAATGACCACTGTGGATGACCAAGATGACCTTGGCTCTTGGGGTTCCTGAAATCTCTTCCTATCCTTGGGCCGGTTTGTGCCCAAAGCAGGCCCTTCCATCTTAAGTGGTCTTACCTTTCAAAGTGGGCCCACCTCCCACTCCCACGGCCCTGCAGTGGAGCTAGTGTGGGGCCAGCAACATGGTCCCTGTCACTGCTACAGGACAAACCTGTAGAGCATTCTTGGGGGCCCTGGGAGGGCATGGGGAAAATTTCTACCTTTGGAAAAAAATCATTCCCAGACCTAGTACAATTTATTTGTGTTGGGGGATAGGAGGGGGTGTGGGGAAATAGTCCTTGCTCCTTATCTGGGCTATTTCTTGGCAGACGTCAAAATGAGACCATGGGGCGGAGAGTGAAGGGGCAAACTGGGCTGCTAGGAGGCATGGGGCCAAGGGAAGAAGCTTCCCAGCACTGTCAGCTGGCAAATGTCAAAGGAAAAGCCAGGTCTGGTCTCTGCTCCATTCCTGTTCCCCACCTGTCTCTATCCTTTTCTCCTCTTTCCTGGCTCTGCCAGACTCGCTTTCACTGGGCACCCGCCTCCCCACCCGCCCCTTGAGGGTGGGGCTTGACTACACCCACGTGTGGCGGAGTTAAATGCTCCTAGCCAGCAGAGGAGCTGGGGAGTGTGGGACCGAGGTGGCTCGGGAAGAGAAGCAGCACCATGGCTGGCAAGAAAGTCTGCATTGTAGGCTCCGGCAACTGGTAAGCAGCTCTGTCATGGGATATAGAGTGAAGGGTGGGTTCGGAGGAACTTGGTTGGTGGGGCGGAGGGCTTAGCAGGCAGGAGGCAGAGGGTGGGTAGGAAATGCCCTCAGGTTCCTGTCCTCCCTTGCTGCTTTCTGCTCCCGTACCTACCCCCTCCAGGGCACAGTGCCCAAACCTCCCCTGGCTCTTGCCTGCTGGGCAGCTGCACCTGTTCTTCAAAGGAAGGAAGCCTCCAGAGTGCTCCCTGCCTGAAAAACTGCTTGGGTTTGGGGAAGTGGGGAGATCAGAAGGGCTGGCCCCTTCTCCGGCAGCCAAGTGTGAGATAGACTGAGTCTCCTTTCTACTGCCAGGTCACTGGGGACACACTGTCATGGGGGTGGGGTTGACAAGGAAGGCAGCAAGTAAATAATCTCATGGGTTGCTGTGAGATCCCGAGGTGGAGCACTCTCCCTGTCTCCTGACTAGTTGGCCAACACCATTCCCTCCCTCATGCCCCTACTCCTCTACTGTCTACCCCCCACCCTGCCCCTCCATCACAGGGGCTCAGCCATTGCCAAGATCGTGGGTGGCAATACAGCTCAGCTGCCACACTTTGACCCACGGGTGACCATGTGGGTGTTTGAGGAAGACATCGGGGGCAGGAAGCTGACGGAGATCATCAACACGCAGCATGAGAATGTTAAATACCTGCCAGGGCACAAGCTGCCCCCCAATGTGGTAAGCCCCAACACCCTGCAAAAGAAAGAGGGAGGTGGAGGGAGGTGGAGGGAGGGAAGGCTAAGGAGACTCAGAGCTCACACCTTACTCACCAGTTGCCTCCTGCTGCGAGGGGGCTGTCTCAGGTGAGAGCTGGACTTGGGAAGCATCTCAGAAGGGCTGCTCCATGCAGAGCACTTGGAAACACAGCCCAAAAGCAGCAACTCTGGCCTCTTTCTGGGACTGAGGAGAACCTGAATGCACTTCCCTCCCCCCTTACAGGCTCCCAGGTGGGAAAGGGAGGAGGAGAGGATGAGGAAGTTGGTCTCCATGGCAACCAAAGATTGGTTATTGGGGCTCCCAGACTTGGGCTCCAGGTAGTGCCCGCCTCAAGCTCTAATCCTGTTACTTATTCACTGGGTTAGCAGACTTGGAGGCTGCTTCTTGGACTTAAGATCTTTAGTCAGATCCATGTGGCTCTCTCACCACCTGGAAAGGGGGAGCACAGGAGGGAGCAGGAAGACCTAAGGGCCCCCCTTCCCAGTTGGGGGCCCTAAGGAGCAGGGTGATGAAATCTTTACTCAGTCTCAACCTTCTGCCAAGCTGGAGCGTTCTTTGGCCTCCCTCACTGTTCCACAGCCAAGGGCTAGGAGAGAGCTGGGAGGAGGTTTACAGGAGTCTTCAAGAGCCCAGGACTGCTGGAGCTGAGAGGGAGTAATTGCTGGGAAAAAAGGAGTTGAGTGTCTTGTTCCTCCAAGTCCAGCCACTTCCAGAGTAGTCCCCAAACCTCCCTTTCTTCTCCACTAGCCACACTCTTTGGCTCCCAGATCTCCTGAATAGGGCTCCATAGGGGCTAGGAGAGGAGGTCTGCCAGTCCCATGAACACCTGGTCACCCCAACAGGTGGCTGTCCCAGATGTGGTCCAGGCTGCGGCAGATGCTGACATCTTGATCTTTGTGGTGCCCCATCAGTTCATTGGCAAGATCTGTGACCAGCTCAAGGGCCACCTGAAGGCAAACACCACTGGCATATCTCTTATTAAGGTGCCAGGGACAACTTCATACTGATGGGGTTGGGGCTTCGGGTGAGCGAAATGACAACAGAAAATGGGAGTAGGCCAAGTGTTTTCAGACAGAGAAGAGTTGGCTTTGGGGAGGCTTGATAAAGCAGTCAGATGCTGGGGTCCGCTGGGAAGAGGAAGGTTGGTTAGGGAGTAAGTAAGAGATTGATTTGGAGGCAGAGTTCTTAGGGTGTGTAGAAGGGATGCCTGAGGGAGCATGAGAAGTAGACTGGTTTGAAGAGCATGAAAGGGAAGTTAGTTCAGAGCAGTGACCACCTGGATGGAAGTTTGATTGGGGTACTCATGAGGAGAGATGTAGAGGGGCTATGTTGCCTTGAAGAGGTATGTTGGTTGAGGGTATGTGGAAGAGTTTTCAGACAGATTCGTTTTTCATATGTCTACTTTCCTCACAACAAGCTTTAGCTGGGTTGGAATGGGGCAGGAGCTCTGGGGAGGGACACAGATGAACAGTGAATTTGGAAGGGGCAGGATTTCTGGCTGGGAAGCCCTTATTTGGGCATAAAGGGCACCTGGCCTGAGCTCCATCCTGTGCCCAGGGGATAGACGAGGGCCCGAACGGGCTGAAGCTCATCTCTGAAGTGATTGGGGAGTGCCTTGGCATCCCCATGAGTGTGCTGATGGGGGCCAACATTGCCAGTGAGGTGGCTGATGAGAAGTTCTGTGAGACAACCATTGGTGAGAGCCCCTGCCCACTACCTGCATACACAATGCAGCTCTGGTTGCGTCCCCATGCTCTTTCCTAGCCACTTAGTCATCTCTTTCCCATAAGGCAGGGACAGGAAGAAGTCCCAAGTATCAGAGGAGAGGGAGGGTTGGGATACCCCCAGGGAAGAGGGTTGCAGGTCCTGCTTAGGGCAGGTGTGGGAAGAACAGTCAGAGTCCTCCCTCCAAAGCTTTATCCCCTCTCCACTTCAGGCTGCAAGGACCCAGCCCAGGGAAAGCTTCTGAAAGAGCTGATGCAGACTCCCAATTTCCGCGTCACTGTGGTGCAAGAGGTGGACACAGTAGAGATCTGTGGAGCCTTAAAGGTGAGAGGGGCACAGAGTGGGGAAAAGGGCCAAAAGGAGGGCCCAGCTTAGCTACCCAAGGTTGCTGGTGCTCCAGGCTCACTCTTGGGCAGTTGCTCCCTGTACCCACCAGGCCCCATACATGAAACAAAGAACTGCAGTAGCCAGGCTAGGGTCATTCAGGCCTGCCAATTATTCACCATCAGACACTGGGGCCCTTTCTTCCCTTCTCCTTCTAGTCCTTTATGGGCCATCTCTGTCCCTGGTTCCAGGGGATGGTTCAGGGGGAAGAGAAGATGCCCTAGGGGAGCTCCCAGGCTAATGGAAATCAACATATATTGGACAGTGAGATAGTGTGATGGCCAGAACTATAGATCCTGGACACTACTCAGAGCTGTGGACCTCAAGGCTATAGAATAGAATGGTCGTGGATGGGAAGGCCAGCTGGAGAGAAGAGTGTTTTTCAGAAAATGTCCTCAAGGATGGAGTATGGAGCAGGGCTAGGGAGCCAGGAAGCACAAGTGCCGGCTAAGAGAAGCAGGGTACAGCAAGTAGGAAAACCAAGAGGTGGAAGTAGTTTAGGGGCCTGTATACTATACTTCACTTATTCAGTGGATGTGCCATGGTTGATGTAAGGAGCATGAGGCAGGTGCTGAGGGCTCCAAATGCTGAGGAGTCCTCTTCTCACCCATGACTTCTACTCCCCAAAGAATATAGTGGCCGTGGGGGCTGGCTTCTGCGATGGGCTGGGCTTTGGCGACAACACCAAGGCGGCAGTGATCCGGCTGGGGCTCATGGAGATGATTGCCTTCGCCAAGCTCTTCTGCAGTGGCCCTGTGTCCTCTGCCACCTTCTTGGAGAGTTGTGGTGTTGCTGACCTCATCACTACCTGCTACGGAGGGCGGAACCGCAAGGTGGCCGAGGCCTTCGCTCGCACAGGAAAGGTGTGGCCCAGGGAGAAGGGAGAACAGAGGGTAGGCTCTGTCAAGGTAGAGATGCTAGGCAGGAGATACCTCCTGAGCGCAAACATTTAAGACTATTTGAACATTCTCACCCCTTCTTTCCTCCTAAGACCCCACCTACCATCTGAGCCCCAAACTCTCCACCTCCTACTGACAACTCTCCTCTCACACCTCCATCCATCCTACCCCCACCCTGTTTTCTTCACAGTCCATTGAGCAGCTAGAGAAAGAAATGCTGAATGGGCAGAAGTTGCAGGGGCCCCAGACAGCCCAGGAGCTACACAACATCCTCCAGCACAAGGGCCTGGTGGACAAGTAAGTGTATGCTGCAACCCTACTGGTTCAGGGAGCCACACCCAAGAGTGCTGTCTGTCCATGATCTCCCTGCACCCTCCACAATCTGTGACGCGAGAGAGAGGGAAACATTACCTGTGTATACAGATAAAGAACCCAGAACTTGGACAGTCTGTGATATGCCCATTACCCCCTGGCTAGTTCAAGTCAGCAGACTGGATCTTCTGAACTCCTTCCAGTTTAGTGCTCTTTACACTACATTACTTGGCCCTCTGCATAGCCTCTCTTTTCTGTCCTTTCCTTCTTGTCCTCTGCTGTGGGAGTTGGAGCTCTGGGGCACCAGGAACAAGATCATCTGACTGTACCACCTCTTTGTCCATCACCCCCAGTCTGAGCCTCTCCCTCAAGGCCAACCTTTCTCTCCCTTGAGTCCTGTCCTGGGTGCTAAGGTGTGAGGATGGTCTCTGCTCCCAAGTGCCTCTTTTCAGGACAGAGCTGTAGAGACTGGGCTGATCAGAGCAGAGCTCTGTTATGTGGGAAAGAATCCGAGAAGAAGAGAGTATGAAACAGAGTTCAAAAGATCAGCTCATGGCTGGCCAGGGTAAAGCCTCTTGGAGCAGCCTGGGCAAGAGGATGGGAAGAAAGGAAACTGGCAACTATTGAGCACCTTCACATACATAATCATTTCTTCACTACTTTGTTATATGGGCCCCATTTTACAGTGGATGACACCGAGGCACAGAGAGAGTAAGTGGCTTGTCCAATTGGAGCAAAACATTTAAGCCAGAGAATCATGCAGGCAAATTCAGTTAGATAGGGAGCAGAACAATTAGCAACCTGACCCTAAAGCCCAAGGCTAGAGAGTTAAAATTCTCAGCAAGTGGAAACTGAGAGCCAGAGTCAGCCTGAGCTTGAAGGTGGGAGGGTAGGGGAGTGGACAAAAATGGGGTAGACAAGGAGTGTTTTGTTGAGGGGTAAGGGGTAGTCAGGGAGTGGGAGGTTAAGCTGGGCCTCTCTCTCCCCGCTCTAGGTTCCCTCTGTTCATGGCTGTGTACAGGGTGTGCTACGAGAGCCAGCCAGTGGGTGAATTCATCCACTGCCTGCAGAATCATCCGGAACACATTTGAGCAGGGCTGGGGCCCAGGCCAGGCTGCTTCTTTATCCCACTGAGGATACGTAGAAGCTTGGAGCACTTGGCCACCAGGATCTCTGGGACTCCTCATGGAGCAGCCTTTTCTCAGCTTTTCACTGGAAGATAAGAGGCTCTGTGGCCCAGCTACTCACCTCAAGATCCTAAGGCCCCAAGAAGCCTGCAGCCTCTTGACACCACATCTCGGCCAGAGATGGAGTACCCTGTCCCTCCCTAGATGTGGGGCTTTCTCCGTGTCCTCCGAGAAAGACAGAATCCCCATTGCTGCCTGTTTGGGGGGTGTGTATATGGAGGAGAGCAAGGAGAGAGGGCAGGGCAAGGACTGCCAGTTGCTGCCTCACACAGGCCAGGAATCCTGTCTTCGTGCCCAGTTAAGTGGCTAAAGAAGTACCTAAGCCACAGAAGGGATGAGGCAAGGGCTGCCAGGGAGGGGTCTAGGCCCCAGGGACCCCTTGGCTTTGACCTCTGCCAGGCCCTACACAGCATCAATGGATCTCAGTGTTTGTTAACAAAATACAAAGATCTCAAACAACCCCCTTCTAGCTTCTCCTAGCAATATCTGCGTTCTCAGAAACTTCTGGTCATCCCCTTTCCCCTCCCCTGGGCTGCAGTGGCACCACACTTGCTGCCACGCTGGCATCTCTGTCCCCAGGGCTTGTCACTCTCCCCAGAGACTTCCTGGTTTCTAGTTCTTTGCCAAGCTCCTCCCTACTCTGTGTGACCTTTCCAAGCCTTCCCTCACCCTCACCACCCTCTTTGGGGGGCAGGAACTTAATCTGCTGACACAGCTATACCTTTTCATAGCAGGCTTGGATCACTGGCTCCCTGTAACCTTTGTATTTGCCCTGCCTCCCTTTTCAGGAGCTCTAGTGGGGGAGGTGTCAGCAGGGCCTCTCCGGCTGCTATGTCTCTGGAGGACATCCCTGACTCCACCCCTCTCCTCCCAAACCCTGTACCTCTTTCTCAGCTGCCCCCAGAGCAGCTGGGACACCAAACCAGCATCTGACTTCTGGAGGCCATGATGGGGTTGTGGGGGGAAGTGGCGCAAAGACTGAACAGGGACAGGGAGGGGTGAGCAGGTTCCCAGGTGGGTGGATCCTGATATTCCAAGGCCAGATCTCCTTTGTCAAATGAGGGCCTTCTCATGGAATATTGACGACATCAGTGCCTAAGGAGCTGGGAACTCAAGGAGGAGGAGGGAGAAAATAAAACCACCTCACCTCTTGGGGTGAGGACAAAATACCAGGAGTGGGAGGAGGGAGAGGAGTGTGCTCTGCATTGACCTTTCCTCCAGGAGGGGGTGGCAACAAGAGAATGTCACAGGTCAGCAGTCTGGGCCCCTGGCTATAAATAGTCCCTCAGGGCCTGAGAGGAGTCTGCCATCGCCAGCAGAGGGTCTCAGCTTCCTGTGTGGCAGCACCTGGCACACTTGTCCTGGCCAGCATTATGTTAACCCTCCCTTACTCCCTACCAAACCAGGGAGGCAGGCTCCTCTCAGCCCCTAGGCCTTGAGTTCAGTCTTACCAGTGAAGGACAGCAGGGTGAGCGAGGGGCACAGTCACCCCAGGTCTAGCTGGGCCTAGCTGGGGCATTGAAACTAGAGCTGCGTCCCCGGGAGGTCAAAGTAGGGCCAGAAAGACTAGCTCCCTTTCCTTGGCTGGGAACTTCTTATTCAAACAACTTTGCATTTGTTCACTCCACAGTTAACGGTGAATAGAGGCCTTCGGGTCAGGCCTCCTTGTCCACCCAGTAAAACGTGTTTTTTCCAGAAACGAGTTGAGGAAGGGAGCTTCAGTGCATGTGGCAGTGCATAAGCTGTCGTTCATCACTGCATATGCATGTTTTCTTAACCCACATCACAAAGCACAATTTTTTGGAAGGGAAAGTGAAAAAAAATTCTGCCTTGATAATCACTGCCACTCTCGGGCACCCAGCGGCGATGCCCATTCAGTCCCCCACCTCCCCGCCGCCCCCCGCCACCTGCCAGGGTCCCCCACGCCCCTCCCCACAAGTTGGTACCCTCTCCCAGCCTTCCGGCGCTCCTCAGGGGCTGCATCACGCCTCCGGGAGGTCACACAGAGGACGTAAGAGGTTCGTTCCTTGTGCCCACTCCGTCCGTAGTCATGGCCAAATCTGCCGCATCCTCTGCGGTTCGGGCCTTGCGTGCCGGTCAGATTCCTACCTGAGCTCGGTCGGCACACCGAAGGGGAGACTGCAGCTCCCGGCTCTAGGGGGCGCGCGGTCCACTTCAGAGGGGTGACTTCAAGAGAATCTACCCAGCTACTGGAGACGTCACCGCGCCTAGGCTGGGGATTGGCAGGTTTTCTCTAAATCGGAGAGAAAGGTAAGTCTATCCTACCGTGACTGAGTATCCTAAAAGTTCCGGCTCCAGAACCTCTGTCACCAAAGACCCTCTCTCAATAGAGAATGACTACAACTCCCAAAATTCAACGGGCTTCTCAGACAGAAAGACTAGTCTGAGGATGCGTAGTAAAGATAGCTGGCCCGGAAGTCGGAAGTGCAAAGGAGGCAACCAGCCGGAGAAGTTGCTAGCGCGGGTTCCCGCTTTAGTGGGCCGACTTGTGCCGTGTTAGGCGCGTGATTTCCTCTCTCCTGCTCAGAACCGAATCCTAGACGGTAAGCGGGGCAGGTGGGAGGGGCACAGGGTCGCTTTCCGCACCAGCTAGGTGTTTAGGATTGTCCCAGGGCCGCTACCCTCACGTCTTTGGTTCCGGGTGCTATGTTCGGTCGCGGTAGGAAGTTGTGGAGACCGTAAGAGCGATACGCTTCCTGCACAGGCCTCTATTGCACAGGAGGGAGTTGAAGCATCCAGGTACGCCACCTGCAAGGGCCGGGCAAGGGGCCTCCTATCCGCTGTGTGCGCGCCCACTTTGGGCCGGCCTCTCCTTACCACATATTTCTACCTCCCCTTTTCCCCAGTCTTTAGACATCGGTTGCCTTGAGTCACGGGGTATCCTGCGAGAGCCTCGACCTGCGATCTCCACTGCTTCCAGCCTACCCTCTTTGCAGGCGCAGATCAGCCCTGTTAAAGCGCAGCACTGATTCTGTGAAGCCTTGACTTCAGCTTTGCATCTTTGCCCTCCACGCTCTATGACACCAAATAACCCCTTCTTCCCTTATAGTCCACTGCGCCCAGATCCGTGGCTTCCTGGGACACCTTTCATGCATATCCTTTACCTCCCAACACACTTTTGCTGCTTTCAACTCCTGGACTGCGCTCTTCCCTCTTCTCAGCTGGTGAAAATCATGCTACCATCTAAAAAGACACACCTCGCCCGCACCTTTCTGCTAACTTTTCACGAGCCTCCGCCCAGGCATGGATGGCTCTGATCTGAACTCTCACAATGCCTCTTCTCTCCTCTGGTCATGTACTGCCGTCTTCCTTGTTTCACAGATTTTGGTACATATCTTATCCCCCTCAGACCATAGCTCTTTTAAGACAAAAGCCTTGTTCTCAGCGGCTTTCCTAGCCCGATGTGCTTTAAGTTTGGAGTACAGGCAGTCCGCAGATTATAAACGACTTCCTTCTTACATCTGTCTTTAATTCTAAATCTGTCTTTAAGTCGAATTTGTACCAAAGTCGGAACAGATAGGTACTGTTTGTATCTAACCTCAGTAAAACTTCTTTTTTTTTAAATTGTACTTCAGGTGAAGGCTTACAGAACAAATAGTTTCTCATGAAACAGAAGTACACATGTTGTTTTATGACATTGGTTAACAACCCCACAACATATCAACCCTCTAACTTCTCAACCTTTTT